GCTCTAGGGACCCTGTCATGTTCGGACCCTGTGCACCGCACGCTTGCAGCAAGGGGTTGCCTGAGAAGACCGCCTTTCGTGCTGTTTGTTTTTGACACATTCCTTTCCTCCTTCCGCGGCGGCGTTGGCCTCACTCCAGGAGGTGCTTGGACTTGCTGCTCACTGTTTGATTTTTTTCCAGTTGACAGGACTAGACTAGAGCATGTCCAGCATTTTCTGCCTGACGTTCTGGCAAGCTGAGTATTGGCCTGTTCTGACGTCTGTTTCCTTAGCTCTGGTGAGCAACTGGCTTTTGTGGGACTAGCAGGGTGGTAAATTCGCAAACTGCTTCTCTGGTCAAGTGGGAGTAGCCTACATCCCATACCCGTGCCTCTGTGCAAACACCAATTCTCTCTCATAGTGACTGCCTGGGACAAGCAGTAAGCCTAACAGAAGGATGCTTGTATTTCACTCAGAACTCTGTTTGCTGCCTTATACAGCCCCCAGTACCACCCTTCTTTCTGCTAAGAACCTGGTCTTTGTTCGGAACACGGTGCTTTATACCTGGGAGAGTGCACCATCGCCGGTCAGTGTTTATTTCTACACTGATCCTAGAGACGGTAGTCAGGTTTGCAGTCCCGTTGTGCTAGGCCCGGCACAAAGCCATTGAGATAGAAGGTCCCTGCTCCAGAGAGCTGCTGTCCGACAGACCAAAGTTGTGGGGGTGAGTGTGTGTGGGAGAAAGTGACATGCTCCCAACCATTGAGCAGACCAGTGGTAGAGCTGGGAACAGAATACAGATCTCTGGAGTCACATGTGCTAACCACTGGGTGACACTGCTTCCCCAGCTTCGACTTTGACAGGTGGACATGGTGCTGAAAATCCCCACACTTTCTTTTCACTTTTTCGGGGTCCTCTTTTCAACTGTCTTGGGAACATCCCCTCTGGGATTTTGGAAGAGCCAAAGAAGAGACGGTGGCCCAGAGAATCAGTCCTGGGTGGATTTTATCCTCAGTCGGGACTTCGGCACGATGAGGCTCTTGAGTGAGCTGGTGTGGTGCAGTGTAATCTCTTTGGGGCAGAGTCTGCCTCTCGCTGTATATGTGCAGCACCTTGCACAATGGGAATCTAGCGCAGCCAAGGCCTCTGGGTGTTACTGTCCATAAGTGATGTGCTGCAGGTCTGGGTCACAGCACTCAGAACGACGGGGCCGCGTTGCTGCGTCCCTGTGTTGCGCTTTAAGGAGCTTACACGTTTCCCCCCTTTATTTCCTTCCTTCCCTGCCCAGGCTGTTGTAACAAAGCTCCGTAGCTCGCACACATACTCGCTCTGTAGAGGGGCAAGACTCACTGTCTAGCAAAGGGATTTAATTGCTCTCCCATCACCATAGGATCTGAGCACGTCCGAATTCGTAATGTTTGTAACCTCCCAGTACTCCTGTGAGGCAGGACTGTGCTGTTCTGCCCCCTGTACAGGCAGGGAACTGAGCCCTGGAGAGACAAAGGAGCTGGCTGCAGGCCGTCCAGGAAGTGCATGGGACAGCAAGGACCCGAACTGAGGTGGGCACCCAATCATCTGCCATTCTTCTAAATACTGTGGCTGACTCTCCTGGTGGCTCTGGGGCTCGGGGGTTGTACTCGGAGAGGAGCCGGGAAGGTACAGTGATCAGAATCTGATGCAGTTATGAGAGAAGGCAGAACATTGCGCCCAGTTCTGGGCCCCCCATTATGGATGTGGATGCATTGGAGAGGGCAACAGAAATGATGAGGGGGCTGAGGAACATGATCTATGAGGAGAGGCTGAGGGATTTGGGCTTGTTTAATCTACAGAAGAGAAGAGTGAGGGGGGATTTGAGAGCAGCCTTCAACTCCCTGAAGGGGGTTCCAAAGAGGCTGGAGAGAGGCTGTTCTCAGTGGGGGCAGGTGGCAGAACAAGGAGCAATGGGCTCAAGTTGCAGTGGGGGAGGTCTAAGATGGATATTAGGAAAAACTATTTCTCTGGGGGGGGGGAGCACTGGGCTGGGTTCCCTAGGGAGGAGGTGGAATCGCCGTCTCTAGAGGTGTTTAAGTCCCAGCTTGACAGACCCCTGGCTGGGATGATTGAGTTGGGGTTGGTCCTGCTTTGGGCAGGGGCTGGACTCGATGCCTCCTGAGGTCTCTGCCAGCCCTGGGGTTCTATGATCTGGCTCTCATCATGACCGACAGACACCTAGGTGAGGGCCTGGTATTTATTACAAATACCCCTCAAATTGCACATGAGATTTGTCTCCAGCTGGCTTTGTGGCAGAGCTATCGCTGCCCTGCGAGGAGTTTTTTGATAACAGAGTTGAAGCTTCTTGCCGGCAGATTTCCTGTGATCCACAGCAGCTGTGGGTGTCCTCCAGTCTCAACGCCGAATCCCCTTTAGGCTCACCTAGCCCTGCCCAGCCCTGTGTGTCCTTCACCAGGAGCCAGGTTCCAGGTGGCCCCTCATTGAGCTTTTTCAGCTCTATCCACAGTGCTTCCGTGTCAGGTTCACGTCACATGACAGGGACAACATCAGAGATGATTCTGTGGCTTTTAAACCAAAAGACCAAGGGGGCCGTGCCCAGAGAGCACAGCCCCATCCACAGGCAGGAGAAACAGACTGGCTGCGTCTAGACTGGCATGATTTTCCAGAAATGCTTTTAACGGAAAAGTTTTCTGTTAAAAGCATTTGCAGAAAAGATCGTCTAGATTGGCACGGACGCTTTTCCGCAAGAAAGCCCCGATCGCCATTTTCGCCATCGGGGCTTTTTTGCGCAAAACAAATCTGAGCTGACTACACTGGCCCTTTTGCGCAAAAGCTTTGCGTAAAAGGGACTTTTGCCCGAACGGCAGCAGCATCGTATTTCCGCAAGAAGCACTGATTTCAGACAGTAGGAAGTCAGTGTTCTTGTGGAAATTCAAGCGGCCAGTGTAGACAGCTGGCAAGTTTTTCTGCAATTTGCGGAAAAACTTGCCAGTCTAGACGCAGCCATCATGTCCACCTCAGTGTTTTTCAACCTTTTTTTATAAATTACCTCTTTAAAAAATATATATTATAAGTACCCCCAGTACCTACAGATTTCAGACACACCATTTTTTTTCTATCATTGCAACACATTTGTTTAAACAACTTAATTGTAACTGGGTGGGGGATGAAATTTTTGGGCCTAAAAAGTACAAAAATAATAAAGCGCTGTTAAACTGAAACCCAAAATTCAGTTTTCTCCAAATTTCAGTTGTGTTGACGTATCCCCCCCCACCCCAGACTTCTCTTGAGTACCCCTGCGGGTATTCGTACCACTGATTGAGAAACACTGGACCAGTTCTCTGCTTCTTCCCACTCCTGTAAGAAGAGGAGGTTGGACCTTTCGGCTAGAACTGATGCAGGAGGCTGAGGGAGCAAGAAGTGCAGCAGCTAGGACGACACTCTGGAGATTTAAAAGGCAAATAGTCCTTTTTTGGATGGTCCGGGCTTTGGCACGGTTTCCTTGCTCAGTTGTGACTATAGAGAGTCCTGTGAATCCGTGGATCTGATCTGTGGCTGATGATGCAGTAGCGGTGGGTCATGTTTGCGGAGGCAGATAACATTTTGTATCTGTGCAGGGCTCTATCAATAAAAAACTTGCCATCCGGAAGTATTTTTCCAAGTGCTGCTGTGAGGAGAAGAGAGAGGAGGCAACTCCCTGCTAAGAGCCTCACCAATTACAAGCAGTGGGTATAATTGTGGAGGAAAGCAGAGTTATTATAGGAAAATCTCTGTACTGCTATTAGGTGGACGACACCAGCTAGATACCTCAAGGCTGCATAAATTGTAAGAGAGACCATCTGTGTCCCGAAAAGTGAACAGCCTGAGTGGCCAAGACAGACGAGGACTATGACCCTCACTTTGCAGGCACAAAAAAGCAAAGTGACTTAGGTTCATTTCCCAGAGTCTTAGCCCAGTGCCTTTACCTCAGAACCAATCTCCATTTCTGCCCCCACCTGCCACATGGGCGCCTCGGCTTGAAAAATGTGAGTTGTTGATGGGAAATGCAGTGAATAAGCCACGATGTTTTTTGCAGAAAGATTTTCCTGCCTGTTTTGTGATCAGGCAGCGCTGGGAGGGCTGCAGTCACCCGGGGGTTAATGCAGAGCGAGCCAGGAAGCTCTTTGCACCCGTCAGGAAGTAGCAGCTCCTTGGGGAAGGGTTGTGTAACCGGCTCCCCCAGGAAGGCGATGGCTCCCGTTTCCCTCGGGGTGTCTGGCTGAGCATGGGGTGTGCCCTGAGCACTGAGGATTCCCGCAAACCCTCTGATTTCCTTGGCGAGGGCTGCTTTGCTGGATCAGCCGCGGTCGCAGTTGCAGCAACAACCCACCCAGCAGCTGCTAATCTGGCCCCTTGTGTCGCTGACAGCACCGTGGGGCACTTCTGGCCTCGTGCCAGGGTACCCCGTCCAATTCACCCCTCTCCCAGAGGCAATACCCCTGCAGCCCACGGAGCGCAGGACCTTGCTTCATAAGCTCGCTGTGGCATCCTCCTCCCATAGCGACTGCTGCCCTGCCTGGCTTTGGGCTTTCCCGGCCCAGTAGCGAGGCCGCTTGCTACCTAGCATCACCCCAGCCGGCTCCCCACCCGCCCCGGCTCTCCCCCCACTGCTCCCCTGGGCCTCAGGGAGTCCTTCCCTTTCCTGGGGTCTGTGGGGCCCACCACCGTCTGGGTCCCGTCCCTCCCGCTCCTTGGGGCAGGGTGCCCTGCAACGAGCCAGGGGGTTCGTGATGCTTGCTGGACCGGGGCTTGCGGTACCAGCTTTGCCCTTACTACAAATGGCTGCAGCCCTCCCCATTGTTCCCAATGGAAGGCGAAGCTCCCCCGCTGCCCACCACCAAGATGGCCACCACCAGCCCCCCGGAAGATGGCTGCATTTGCCTACTGTGTGAAGCCAGGCTGCCCTCAACGAAGATGGCCGCTCCTCCTTCGCCATGTGTGTCCCAGGCAGGAGGTACCAGCTTTGCCCTTACTACAAATGGCTGCAGCCCTCCCCATTGTTCCCAATGGAAGGCGAAGCTCCCCCGCTGCCCACCACCAAGATGGCCACCACCAGCCCCCCGGAAGATGGCTGCATTTGCCTACTGTGTGAAGCCAGGCTGCCCTCAACGAAGATGGCCGCTCCTCCTTCGCCATGTGTGTCCCAGGCAGGAGGCAGGGCGGATGGAAAGGGGGATGCGTGCCTGTGGGGGGGAGTGGGGCGCAGGGGGAGGCGTGGGGCAGAGGTGGTAGTGAAGGAAAGTGGGGTGGGGGTGGGAAAAAAGCGGAGAAAGGGCGGGGGGGGGGGCTGGGGGGGAGAGGAGACTGAGGTTACGGGGGCCACAGGAAGACGGTGACGGATGAGAGCAGGGGACAGTGAGGGAGGGTGTTGGAGACAGGAGCACGCTGAGGGCAGCGACTGCAGGAGATGTGGGGAGCGGGTCCGGAGACAGAGGGGACTGGAAGTGGGGGCAGAATTGAAAGGGTGCGGCTGGGGGGTTGGGGAGGAAGGAGGCTGATAGGGCAGGGGAATGCCAGCAGCAAGGGGAGGGTACGTGGACTCTAGAGGAGAGGCCTGACTTGTTTGGTGCATCTTGAAGGCTGGATTTTTCACCCTGAAATAATCACATGGAAACTGGGACGTGGACAGCTTCCCTCTAGGGCTACAAAAGTCACAAGGAGGGTTGCTCCTACAGTGATGTCTCAGTATTGCAGGATTGGGGCTTCCTGTGCCCCCCATTCGGTTCCGCATTGTTTTAGCTCATGTTCGTGCCTAAACGCAAGACCCTGCCTGTGTCCTGTGCCGCTTTCGCTCTGTGACATCGGCATGCAAGGGTCTGTGTTTACCCATAGCTAAGTCGATCCGTTTAACAGCCAGCCCTGCAAGCCCTTGGCTCTGAGGCCTTGTCTGCCATAGAAAAATTAGTGGATGCATCTGCCAACACTGGGGTTAGTTTCAGTCCTGGGAATAAATTAAAATCTTGGTTTTAATTTAAAAAAATGGTTTCCAGCCCTCCTAGTTGCAGAGAAAAGTCTTGGACATGTGACCTGTAGGGTCGCCAGGTGTCTGGTTTTGAACCGGACAGTCCAGTATTTGAGCTTTCTGTTCGGGAAACAAAGTGAGAAAATATAAATGTCCGGTATTTTCTAGATAAGATGTAATGTAGATTGTGATGTCATGTCAAGTGTGTCCGGTATTTTTGTTGAAACCATCTGGCAACCCTAGTGACCTGAGGACAACACACGGCTAAGAAATCCAAATCTCACCATGCTGCTGTTGCTGTCAATGGGATTGCATAGGGGCAGCTGATTAGAATTTCCCAAACATTCCTGTTAATGCCATGTAAGTTGTCACTGTTGCTTGCCTTGATGGCATTGACAGATGCGGGCTTTACTGGTGACAGCTGCAAGGATGAGCAGTGGATCAGAAATAGTCTGTAGCACAAAAGATGGGCTGAAGGAATAGGGGGATAGGAAGTCTTTTTTCTGAAATAAATAAAACCTGTCCTGCCAGATCACACCAGGCTTTACACTCCTGCCCTCTCCCAAAGAACTATCAATCTAAGGCGAAATGTGGTGGGGAAGGGTGTAGGCAGTTATTGACGAGCATAAGGCGGTAGCAAGGACAGAGGTGGGGTTTAAAAAAGGACTCCAAGGAGGAGAGAAGCAGACAATGGGCAGATGAAGACAGGGAGACTGTGCCAGGCAGAGGGAGCAGCATGACGGGAAGCAAGAAGCAGAAATGGGAAAAGAAGTTGAAGCAGGAAGGCAAGAGGCTTGGGGAGTAGGAGAAATTCACGGATTCTTAGATTCCAAGGCCAGAAGGAACCACTGAGAGGATTCAGCCTGACCACCTGTGTAACACAGGCTGGAGAACTTCCCAAAACAATTCTTTAGAGCAGATCTTTTAGAAAAACACCCAGTCTTGCTTTCAAAATTGTCTGTGATGGAGAACTCTCCACGACTCTCAGTAAGTTATTCCAAGGGTTAATTACTCTCACGCTTTAAAAAAAGATGCCTTATTTCTAGTCTGATTTGTTAAGCTTGAATTTCCAGCTATTGACAGAGCCCTGTGAGAATGCAAAACTGGTATTTGCATCTGCAAAAATGGTCTGTGGATATCTGCAAATTTGCAGGGTTCTAAATACAAGATGTGTTTCTGCATCTTTTACAGTCAAAGCCTCCCATCCTGTCAGCATGGCCTAATTCTTTGTTCCTAGATGTACACATTACAATTAGCCACATTAAAATACATGTTGTTGGCTTGTGCTCAGTTTACCAAGCAATCTACAATGCTCTGTATCGGTCACCGGTCCTTTTAATGATTTGTCACGTTCCCAGTTTTTGTGATATCTGCAAACGTTATCAGGGATGATTTTGTGTTTTATTCCTGGTCATTAATAAAAATGTTAAGTAGCATAGGATCAAAAACTGATCCCTGCTGGACCCTGCTGCAAAAAACCTGTTCCATTATGATTCCCTATTTATAATTACATTTGGACTTCCAACATGCCAGTCATCTGAAGAAGTGGGCGGTGCCCACGAAAGCTCATGATACCATCTACACGTGTTGTTAGTCTTTAAAGTGCTACCAGACTATTTGTTGTTTTTTAAGTTTTTTCTGTTACAGACTAACTCGGGTACTCCTCTGAAACTTTTCTACATTTGGTTACTTCTCAGTAAGCCAGATTTTAATCCATTTAACGTGGGCAGTGTTAATTTTATATCTTTCTAATCTTTTAATCAAAAGAGGGTGCAAGACTAGGTCAAATGCTTTACAGAAGTCTAAGTCTGTTACATCAACATTATTACAGGTTGAACCTCTCTAGTTCTGCACTCTCTGGTCCGGCAACATCTGTGATCCGGCATGATTTTAGTTGGTTGGATGTCCACTTATCATGAGTGTGGACAAGTTTCCTGCAGTTTCATAAAGTTTGTTTACAGCCAGCAATCCTGGTGCTCAGTGTTCTGTACTGTTTTTTAAAGCTCTGATTTACAATTAAATGTCTTCTAAGAGCCCAGCAAGCAGGGGAAAAGCTCCGATTTACAATTAAATGTCTTCTAAGAGCCCAGCAAGCAGGGGAAGTGTTGGTATTGCTGCTAGACAATATTGACCTCCTGTGGTTTGGCAAATTCTCTGGTTCATCATCGGTCAAGTCCCAAGGGTGCTGAACTAGAGAGGTTCAACATGTATTTTTATCATCCAAATTTGTAATTCCATTAAAATATCAAGCTAGTTAACTAGGCTTTATTTCCCATAAACCCATGTTGACTGGCATTAATGATAGAACCTTCCTTTTATTCATCATTAATAAAGTCTCATATAGCCACTCCATTATCTGGCTCCCGGTCAATGTCAGACGGACAGTCCAGAAATTACCTGGGATACACCTTTAACCAATTTTAATTACGGACACAACATTAGCTTTCTTTCAGTCATGTAGAACTTCTCCGGGATACCAAGACGTATTGAAAATCAACATTAACAGTCCTTAGTCAGCACTTTTAAAAATGGTTGGATGCAAATTATCCAGACCTGCTGATTTTAAAAAGTATGACTTTAATAGCTGATATATAACATCCTCTGGAAATACTAGTGAGCTAGAAAGTGTTTTATCATGTTAAATATTTCCCATATATATGGTACACATCTGCTTTAGCTATATTGTTTTGATACATTTCCATCTAATAATGGACTAATAACAGTGTTGGGAATTTTTTTTGTTCCTAACTTACTTAAAAAACAGCTCCTTATTATCCTTAACTCTCTGGCCACTTCTTGTGTCCCTTTGCTTCCCTTAACAATTTTCTACAATTCCTATCTTCTGATTTATATTTATTACTATCAGCTTCCCATTTCTTTTACATATATAAAAGTCTTTATAGCTGCCTTCTACTTTCCTCTACACCATGTTGGTTTTTTTAACCAATACATCCTTCTTTCTCGATCATGAGAAGTGAGACTTGAGTCTTGAGTGGAGCTGGATTATGCAAGTAGTGCTTGGGTTGTAATTTGTATTTGTAATTAACTACAATTTTTATTTATAATTGCCTGTCATTATTTTCTTGGAACCAAACTTGCCATGTATTTTTTTTTCTATAGAAATGTTTTGTGGTCTTTCTTTGCCCCTCCCCCGCTTTTTGTTTTGTCTTTGACTCGGATTTCTTTTTCCCAGCAGCAAGAACTGTGTCGCACCACGTTTCGGGTGACAGTTAATCCCAATGCATATATGTACACACACACAAATACCCCACTTCCATTTCAGTTCTGTGCCTCAAATCCTGCCAGCTGCAGGTGCTTAATTAACTGTGGTTTTTTTTAAAAAAAATTGGCAGCAGCTGGGAACATTGATAGTTCTGAGCTGCTGAGCAATCCAAGCAGAAATAATAGCACACAAATATTTTAATACAATGGGGCTCAGAAATGCTAAATGCATCATGGATACACTGTAGAGTAGAACTTTCTCTGAGCACAAAAGGCCTCTTCTGAAGAGGTGGCCATGCCCAGCTCAGGAACAGCAAGGCCCTCTTTCTGCATTCCAGCGGGAGTCAGTGAGACACAAGATCAGACCCTTTCTAGGGTGCGTTTATTTCTGGAAAAACCCATGTTTTAAACAGAAGTGCTAGTGTGGGCACTGCCATCGCACAGCCTTGGCAGGGCTGCATGCCTCCTGCTGCACCTTCAGCGGGAGCAGAGATTGGGAGGAGCCACGGGTCTCTCTCCGATCCTTTTCAGACATCCTGCGGGGGTGGACCACTAGGAGGACCGCTGGAGCTGCGTGCAGAAGCTCAGATCTGACAGCTGTGAAGAAGAGGCAGGGCTGTACTGTATACAACTCGGATTCTTTCCTGAGGCTGCTTTCTAGTGTCTGGCTTCTACTGTCCAGCACTGCACTGTGCAGGGGGTCAGACTAGAGCAGTGGTCTCCAACCTTTTTACACCCAAGATCACTTTTTAAATGACAGACCAAGCCAAGATCTAGCGCCCCGCCCCTTCCTTGAAGCCCCGCCCTCTCTCTTCTCCTCCTCTCCATCACTTGTTATCTCCAATCCTTATACTGCTACTTTTAAAAAAAATTCCCACCATTCCTCGCAGCTACTCACCTGTGCTGTTGCTCGGTGAGTAGCTGCTCCTCAAATGAGGAAATCTAATGTAAATATACTGCGCAGGCGCGCAGTTCAGAGAGGGCTCAAGAGCTACTCTTAGAGCCTCCGAGATCTACCGGTAGATCGTGATCTACTGGTTGGTGACCACAGGACTAGATGATCATAATGGTCCCTTCTGACCTTAAAGTCTATGAGTCGATGCACGGGAATCACCTAAGTTTGGGTGTTAATTCACACCTTTGGGATTTGTAGGAAAGTCTCTACATCTACATTGCATCCCTCTTGCGCAAAAGCCTATGCAAATGAAGCATGGATTAGCCTATTGCCGTGCTTCATTTGCATAATTAATTAGGGGCCGTTTTTACCCCCCTCTGGTGCAAGAGCCGTTCTTCCGGAAAAAATGAGGAAGAATGGCTCTTGTGCAAGAGAGGGATTTTGTGTAAAAAGGAGCTGTGTACATGGCTCCTTTTTGTGCAAAAGCCTCTTGGGCAAAATTAATTAATTATGCAAATGAAGCACAGCAATATGCTAAGCCACACTTCATTTGCACAGGCTTTTGCATAAGAGGGATGCAATGTAGATGTAGCCTCTGTCTGTGGATGCTTATTTTGAAGTGTGTCCTGTTTTGATAACAAAAGGGGTGAATTAAAACGGATTTGCTTATTTTGGTGTAAGGACTCTAGCTGAGCAACAGAGCGCGGACTTCTCCCAAAGTTTGGGTGAGTTTGGCTCTAGGATTGTCAGATGTTGCCCTTCCGCAGGGGCGTTGTGAGTGTCTCTCTAAAGAGTTTTTTGCCCACGTTATGTTAGGGGCAAACTTAGCATCGAAGTAAATCGAACTGTGTTGTAATCAGAGTGAGGGGCAGAGGAGAAAAGTGGGGAGGGGGAGAGAGAGAGAGAAAGAAAGACTGCTGGAAAAGAAGAGAGAAAAAGAAGGACAGAAGAGAGGTGACCAAGTGGAAGGGGCAAAAAATAACGACAGGGAAGACTTTTTGGAGGAATTATTAACTAATGAGATAATTAACCCTACACACCTCGCTAGCTCCTTTCAGCTAAGGATCACAAACAATAATTAAACTCCACCACATCCCTATGCGGAAGGTTTTCGGGTTACTGAGCATCCGGGCAGTGTTCTAACTGACGGAGATGTTTGCTCTCTGGGCATGGCAGACACTTGGGTGGTATTGCAGGAGGGGACAGAGTTTCTCCTAGATATTGATGGCCTCAAAGGATTTCTTGTAATCTCTTGAGACGGAAAAGATCTAGGAATTGCTACCGGCAGCTGGGGCTGGACTGAGGTGGGGCTAGAAGATAATCTAGGGCGGCTCATGCTGCTGTGTGAATTTAGTGCTGTTGGCCTCCTCTTAAGTACAGGTTTGCTCACCTCATCCCAGAGAAAACTGCATCAACATCGGGCCCGATCCTGGAGCTCTTCTTTAGGTAATACCCGCTCTTTGATTTCACTGGGACTCCTGTCCCTGCAAAGTCTGAATTGCTGTAGTGAACTCATGAGCTGCAAAGCTGCAATTAACCACAGGGATGTGACAGATTTTCCATCTCTTGATGCCACCTGGATGAGAAGAGGTGATCCAGAAGAGATGCTCTCATCAAATGTGAGATATTGGACTCAATGCCTTGGTAACTGGACGGAAGTCTAGGAGCTCACATGGACAGCACTTGGATCACTCAACGCTATGGAAAGTCAGCTTCTTCCAGTACAGTCTGCACATGTATGAGAGGAACCCTGGTACTTTGGCTCTAAACATACAGGCTTCTACTTAAGCTAGCCTAGAGGTCCTGAAATTGATACTAGTCACAGGCAGTGTTCCCTGTAAGCTGTGTGCTTTTGCGGCCTCTCAGGAGACATTCCAATGGTGCCCAGCTGATTAGCAGAGCACCCACAGCTAGATTTTTGTTTCTCCTGGTGGTGCACATTCACACCTGCTTTGGTGCACATAACAAAAATTATTCTGCACACCGATGGAAAATAATCTGCCCGTGGATGGAAAAGATTAGAGGGAACATTGCTCGCAGAACCCATTTGATTTCTACAGGCCAGCTACTGGGGCACTAGATCACCCATTTACTCAAACACAAAGCCAGCACAGTGTTTAATGGCTAAAGAGTGCAGCATGCCGAGATGCAAAAATCAATGAACTCTGGACAAGTTTGGAAGTGAACTTTGAGTCAGTTCTGAAGCTGCCTCTAGGTGACAAGGCCGTGAAAATGACTCAAGACCTCAACGAGAGAAATGAATGCTGCGGAACGAGATTTCGCCTTGCCACAAGTGGTTTTAAGCCAGCTGGACAGGCATCAGCTTACACCAGCAGAGAATTTGGCCCTGTGACTGTTTTCTTCAGAACGGCAATTAATAGGAAATGTGATGGAAGAATGTAGCGTCACCAATGGGATTGATTGCTGGCCCTCGTTGAAATGAAAAGGTATCACCTTTTAAACAGATGGAAAGAAAATACTTTTTTTATGCAACACATAATCAACCTGCTGTGGGAGACAAATGGAGGCAAGGAGTTAATTAAGAAGACTTGGACATCTGCGTGGATAACATGTATTTACATGTGCTGGGGTAATAAAATCTAGCCACTCTGAGGCTTCAGGTCAGAAGCTGTCTGGGGTCAGGAGGAAATTACTTCACTGTGGGATGGTATTGCATTCTGGGGTATCAGCCCCTATGATCTTACAGAACTAGGGCAGCACTGTGAAAGTGTGTTACCATCCCATGAAAAAAAAAGAGCTGTAGAAATATAAAACCAGGGTGGATAAAAATCAATGATTTTTTTAAAATAAAAAAAAAATCAGAATTTTTAATTTAAATCAGTTTTTTTCCTAAAAAATTGATTTAAATATAATTTTAATTAAGATACATAATAGCTCAAAGATATCTCATCATGGAATAGGGATTATAAATTCTAATTCTATAGTATGGAACAGTATAATCATGTAATGTTTAGGGAAAGTTTTGTAAATGAGTTCCAATAGTTCATGGATCAGGGACTGACTCTTATGGAGTTCCAGAGGCTTCTGTACAGATTATTTAGATTAATCTTTCTATCTAGCCAATGGGACTCAGTGCTCAGTCGAAATGATACCATCAGAGTGTCAGCCGACGGTCAGGGCAGTGTGTGTGTGTGTGTGTGTGCTGAGAAAAGGTTTAATGTCCTTGACTTTCCCGCTAGGACCGGGGTCCCGTTGTGGAGGGCAGCCAACAGGCTGACAGACGCCCCAGAGTTTATAGGAAGAGCTTATTACATCTCAGATTTTAGCTGCTAGGATACAGGATCCCTTCGCAGCGGGCAGTCTAGGGAAAACTGAGAGATGCCCCAACGGATCTGTCACCTGGGAGTGACACGATCCAAAACACCCAAGCTCTTCCTATACCTGTCCCTTATGACCGGCTGAAGTTCTTTGAAATTGTGCTTGGTTCTGTTACAGCAACTGAAGGAGTCAGGTTAAAAATTTAAACAGTTACAGGTTTATTAAAAAGCCTTATAAAAGCATATGGTTACAATGGCTATTGCTCTCTTTCTTAACTGCTAGCAAATACAGATCTTAAAAATGGTTACAAAGATAAAGATAGAAAATAGAAATAATGGTACCAAGTGACAGCTTAATCTTTAAAGAGCTCTAAGTCTATGTGTGCACTTAAGACAAAGGACCACATCCAGGTACAAGTTTTACCCCCTTCTGTGCCTCTCGACTCCAGCGTGTCAGGCCAGGGCCGGTCCCTCAATTCCTAGGAAAGACGAATACGAGGTGGGCGTCCCCGTGGAACCTCGGGAGGTCAAACACCTAACCCGACCAGCAGATAGATGGTAGATTGACACTCAGAGTAAATGTGCTGCTGGACCCATCTTTATACCCCTGGGGGCCCGTATCCTCTTTCTTATCTTAAGATGCCAAATTGTACTGGTCCGTTTTGTGGCGCCAGTTCTTACAAGCAAGTTTCAAATAATTTACACTTGTAAGAGAGGAAGATAGCTAAATTAGGAGTGCCGGATATTCTTTGCTGGGCGGGAGATTCCTCCCCCCGCGGACGGCTGTGTGTTCGTATCAATATGGGTTTTAGTCAAGGGCACTCTTCGGCAGCCTCTTGGTCAGCAATTGGCATATCTCTGTTTACAGCCATTCACGGTCACTGAGCCTGCATATCCAGGCAAGCAAAAATGGATGTTACAAGGGGGGTTCCTGTCTGGCTACACAGAGATGCTTAGTTCTGCAGTTCTCAAACTGTGGATTTGTGTCTCCAGAGATAACATGCTTGTTAAGAGCAAAAATGGTTTTAAATAAATAAATATATAGAGGTGAGAAATAGCAGACCTCGACCCTCATGTCCCTCTGTAAATGTGTGTACACAGAGTCAATCCCTTCTCTCTCTCTCTCTCTCTCTCTCTCTCTCTACACTGCACACTTACTTTGAAATAAGCTATGCAATTTGCATAGTGCAAATAGCGTAGCTTATTTGGAGGTAATTTGATGCAGTCAACAAAGCGCCAAATTTCTAAATGAAGCACTGTTTCTGCAAGTCCTTTAACCCTCTTGGAACGAGGGTTACAGGGACACCAGAATAGCACGCCCTTTATTTTGAAATATATTTTGAAATAATGGGCGCGTTTAAAGACTCGGAATTGCTATTTTGGGAAACTTCCAGTATCTCAAAATAGCCCCGCTGTGTAGACGCAAAAAAAAGTGCAAAGTTTCAAAAAGTTCAGTGAACAGAAGGTTGCTGGGAGGGGACGAGCTCTGAACAAGGAGAAGAAGTCTGGAGCTAAATATGAGGAGGGTGGGACAGGCAGCAGAAACTAAGAAGTGAAGCTGTTTGAGAAGCATATTCCAGAAGTCTCGAGGAGTTTCTGAGTGTAGCCTTCATTGGTTTGAGCTCTACCACACTATTCTCTCACTGGAATGCACTTTTATGTAGAAAACCATGATTGAATCCAGTCTTCCTGACTAGTGATTTCAATCAAACTCCCCCTTTGCTCTGATCGTTATTTCTTATCATAAAGCTGTTTGGTTCCTTTGCTTTCTAGATCCTGGCTCCGCCAGCAGCATGTCCAGTCAGGCGTCACTGGCGAGCTACTTAAATGGGAATAAGAAGCCGTTAGGTCAGTACAAGGTCGTCTGTCTGGGTTGCTTGGCATGGGCCCCGGGGCAGGGTGAGTGGCATGGGAAGGCTTTTGGTGTTTCCTATCTCCTGGTACCAGGCTGGGCACAATCTAGGTTAGTGAGGAGCGGTGTTCCCTGAAAGCTGGGCGCTTGTGTGGCCGCTGAGGAGAGAGTCAAATGCTGCCTGGCTGATTGGCAGAGCACCCACAGCCAGGTTTGTGTTCCTAGTGGTGGTGCACATCCGCCTCAGTGAACAGAAAAATTTTATTCTGCACATGGATGGAAAAAATCTGCACATAGATGGAAGATTAGCGGGAATATTGGTGAGGAGCAAACGAAACACCAGGGCTTGGGTTGCCCATTCCAGCAAGAGACTCTCACTCTGCTCCAGTTGACCCAAAGCCCTCCCCCCAACCCTGTAGCCTCTTCCAGTGGGTCCCAAGATCCTGCTTTCCTGGGAAAGCCAATCATGTCCCCAGCAAGTGCAACCACCACCAGGTGGATTTGAACCTATGTCCTCAGGAGCTTAGCATAGCAGCCTCTACCCTCTGAGCTAAAAGCCAGCTGGCTCCCAGCCCATGCTGTAGGGGTCTCTTGGTCTTATCTGTTGCTGTGGTCTAGGTGCCACTTCATCAGACAGTGACCCACACTAGGGCTATGTCTAGACTACGGGGAAGATTCGAAAGAGGATATGCAAATTCGGTGGGAATTTGCATATCTTCCAATCTCACTTTCGAAAGCAGAGCTTTCAAAAGTGAAAGTAGTTTAGAGGCGGCTTTCTTCGGCGTCCCCCCCACCTTTGTCGGAAAGCCGCTTTTCCTCCAAAAATGGGGTTTACACGGCTTTTCAACAAAGGGGGGGTTCACCAAAAAAGCCGCCTCTAAACTACTTTCCCACAGAATTTGCATATCCTCTTTCGAATCTTCCCCGTAGTCTAGACAAACCCTAGGTGTGTGGGTTACACAAGCAGTACCCAAGTGTCCTTGGGGGCCTCAGGGGGTTGCCACCAGTCCTCGTCCTGCTTCATTTCCCCATGGGCAGGAGACGCTTGCCTAGAGATTGGCTAATGGAGTTGCTGAGGGCTCATTGCTTGGCTGCTTTTCCAGATTTCACCTGGGAGGTGAAGGCCAACGACCGAGCCTATCACAAGCAGTTCAAGAAGAAAGCCGCCTTCTGCCTGACCAGGGAGAAGTACGCGGTGAGTCACCTGGCCCAGGCTTCGTTTTTGGCTGCTTGCGTCTCACTGATTTCCCATCCGGAGCCGCTTGGCCGTGGCCTGTGAGGAGGGCCGGGGCTGAGCAGGCAGGTCTCCAGAGAGGCTGACTGGAAGCGTGGCTTCCGCAAGGGCCCAGTGCAGCACGAGGAGGGTGGGACCGGCCTTGTGTTCACGAGGCACTGTCCAGAGCATATTGGCCCATTGCAATGCCTCCTAGAGGGAGCTGTGGCTTTGTGGGCTTGAGAGAGCCACGAGACTTGTGCGTGGAGTCCAGCAGGGACCTGACAGTGCTCCCTGGTAAAGGCAGGCTCCCGTCACTCCGCTGGGCATTACACGTCCCCCTTTGCGCCTGGGCCCCTGCGTGTCTACTGCTCGGCCTGTCTCCTCAGCTCGGCAACATCTGCCTTTAGCTCTGGAGGGCCCCAGTTCAGCCTCTGGCGTCAGCCACAAGGCCAGCTGGACGGGCCCTCCCCTGAGGAAGGATGGAAGATGGGCTGATAAGCCCAGAGGCTCAAAGGTATTTAGGCTCTTGATTGCCATTGATTTCAAGGGGGTTTAGGCACCTGGGTCATGAGGAGTGAGGGGTTGATTCTTAATTGCCCTTCCCCTGCGCTCCCTGGGTGCAAAGCAGGGGTGGAATGGTCCCCCGTGACATGGTCGGGCTTGGCATTGGTGCAAAAGATGAGGCAGGTTTGCAGAGCCGAGGTGGGGGTGAGGGTGAGGAACTCTGCTTCTATGGTACACTCTAGTCCTTAGTGGAGACTCCTGGCACCTCCTGGCCCAGTAGCCCCCCTGCAGGGCAAATCTGGCCTTTGGCTTGGAAGAAGGGGATGCCTCATCGGGATGGCCTTTGCCCTGTGAGATCCCAGTGGGTGGCAGGAAACCCTCCTTTGCCCCAACCCTACTTCTGGCCCATCCCGAGAGAGCCTACAATGTCAGTTTTTAAAATGCTCCTTCCAGGATAACGCCATCCGGACAGCCAAGTACAATGTCCTGACCTTCCTGCCGCTCAACCTCTACGAGCAGTTCCACCGCCTGGCCAACCTCTACTTCCTCTTCGTTATCCTCTTGCAGGTGAGATCTCGCTGGGGGAGGCGGGCAGGTGCTAGTCCAGCCAAGCCAGCGCCCCAAGATGGGCACAGGGTGACTCTGTAATGAAGGAGCTGTGACCACTTGGGCCAGGTCTATACTAGACCTGGAAGGTTGGCTTAGGGTACATAACACTAGCTATAGAAACAACATAGCTAGGGTTGACATATCTTAAATTGAGCTTTGTGCCATCTCCACAGTCGGAGAAAACTCTCCAGTCGACTTCCCTTACTCCTTGTGAATTGAGGAGTACTGGTGCCCTCCGGAGTGCCCTCAGCGTTTGACTGAGCTGGTCCTTACTAGACCTGCTAAATCAAACGCCAGATGATCGATCTCCGACACCAGAAGTATAGATATGGCCTTGCGTTCAATGAGCAAGAAATAATACTCTCCTGTTAAAGTCCTTCATTTGCATTACACCAGGCTTTGCTTTGTTTGGTGAGGTACTTAATTATTGGGGTGCATGCAATGCAAATGCTTGCTCTTACGCTATAATGGACTGCTAACCCATTGGGCTTTGCATGCATCAGTTCAAATCCCATCCTTATTGCCTGTTTATGGAGGTTGGACTGGATGGTCTCTTCCAACCCTAGGCTTCTATGATAATAGGGTACAGCTAGGGGAAACCAATGCCTGCAACATCCCACCCGTTTTTCGTGGAGTTTAAACACATCCCTTTGAATTCCACTAACCTGGAAATGACCTGGCCTGGCTCCCAGGTGTGAGTGTATCAGTTCTCAGCTGATGCCTGGCCCTTGGCCAGACCTGGCATGTTACTTACCAACCCCACGCTCCAGGTAGACAAGCCCTTTGCCTGATGTCCTGTGAGTGGGGAAGGAAGATCTTTAAGCTAAACTGCAATGAGCTGAACTGAAAGCAAAATAAAAGCCGCTGGGCAGGAGCCCAAAGGGCTGGGAGTCAAACTGGAGCCATGTCTGCCACATCCAGTGCGTTGATTTCCTTTTGATAGCCTGCTCCCAGACGGCCCCCGGCAATGGGCTCCCATAGGAGGCCAGGTGGGGGAGTTACCTCAACTCTGCCGCCCCTCAAGGAAGGGTCAGTGCCTTGGGCGGGGGTGACGGCTGTGTCTGGTACCCCACCCCCTCCCATTTCAGACCATTCCAGAAATCTCCACCCTGCCCTGGTTCACCCTCCTGCTGCCCCTCAGCTGCCTCCTCCTCATCAGAGGCCTGCGGGACCTGATCGATGACATTGTGAGTATCCGTTCAGTGTCCAGAGCTGGAAATCCAGGAAGGGGCCTAGGGTTGGCATGGCTGGAGAGGCCATGCCTGGGCCTATCTATCACCATCCCTTTGGAGGAGACGGAGTAACTGGCCCCTTCTCTTCTGGCCTCTCCATGATTAACCCACTCGCTTCTCCTGCTCTTCGGGGTCCCTGCCAAGGGCTGTGCTCTTAGATCCACAGACGTACCGACGGGGCCTCTTCCTCCCAGCGCACTGTGCATGCCTGCGTGGACCACGAGAGCCTCTGTCTGGGCGGACTGTCAAAATCAGATGTTGCCAGCCCAGTGCCAAATGTGAACTCCTGGCTCATGGTCACAATTTTACAGCGTCACCGATGGTCCCGTTAGACGCTCCAGTCTATCTTGCCGCCCAGGCAAACTGGACTTAGCAATAAACGGTCACTTTACGCCAAAAAATCATGAACTGTTTGGGCTGCTTCCAGTCCCAAGAGACCCGTCACTTACCTCAGATCAGTGGGTCCCCCGGAACTCACTCCAAAGACAGTGCCTGGAGCCCATCCTGTAATCAACCATCTAAACGTTTATTAATGAGGAGAGAGAAATAAGAGAGTTATTTGCTGATTTGAGCAAGCAAACATATGCCCAGAAGAATTGCAGACTAAAGGGACAGAGTTGTAGTGACCGGTCACTTCAAAGTGTCTTTCAAGCGTGGACCCACAGGGAGCTGCTGGGGATCTCTGGCTTGTTGGCGTCTTTGGCCCCATCAGCGTTCAAACAGCAAAAGAGATGGAAAATGGTCTTGGGCCTTTGTTTTATTTCCATCATCCAGCCTCCAAATCCATAGGACGAGCTTCCTTGGACGCAGCGTTGCCAAGGGCTATTCATCAGTTCTCTGTATTGCGATGTTCCTCGATGGAGCATCTCCTTTTGATAGCTCTTCTGGCTGCCTGGGGAGGAGTGGAGATGAACACTCTTCCCTCCTGAGTTCGCTGGTTTAGAGCAAAACTTGTCAAAGTTATTAAGCAAAACATACGTGTTTCCTAGTAGCCCGGAATCCAGCCATGACAGATTGGATTGGGGCCTGCAGCAATGTACAGACCTTCGATAGGATTGTAACACTGTTACGTAGCTCTAAGATGAACACTTAGGGTGTGTCTAGACTAGGCTCCCATGTAAACTACTTTACCCGCCATAGTCAATGAAGCGGGGATTTAAATAATCCCTGCGTCATAAAATAAAAATGGCCGCCACGCTGTGCCGACAATCAGCTAATCTGGCATAGCACAGCAGTCTAGACGCGGATCGGTTGACAAGGGAAGCGTTTCATGAGGCATAAGGGAGCAGTTGACAAAGGCTTCCATGTCGACCGATCTGCGTCTAGACTGCCGTGCTGTGCCGGATCAGCTGATTGTCGGGCCAGTGCGGCGGCCATGTTTATTTTAATGAAGCAGGGATTATTTAAATCCCTGCTTGGCGGCCATTTGTATTTTAATGAAGCGGGGATTATTTAAATCCCCGCTTCATTGACTATGTCGGGTAAACTAGTTTACATGGCTCCGTCGACGGAGCCACGTAGTCTAGACACACCCTTATTGTGAGTCGCACGAAGTGAACGAGTCCGACCTCCTGCTGTGCAATTGTCAGGTCTTGGCTAATGCCTGCAGCCTGGCCACGAGCTGTCACACCTTGCTGGGAGCCGGAGCTCCTGGACAGGAATGTTTTCCCTGGCGAATGGGGAAGCACCGCATGGCCTGTCTGTGTCTTTTCTCCTTTTCCTGCAGGCCCGACATCGGAGTGACTGGGTGATCAACAGCACGCCCTGCGAAATCTTGGTGGGGAAAAGGTTAGGGGCCTCAAGAAAGCTCCGGCTGGAAACTAGAGATGAAAACTCTCTTTCTGCCACCACGTTCTCCTCCCAGCTGTGCTTGAAGACGCAGCGGGTGGGGGGGTGGTTCTGGGCTGTAGGCTGAGCTCAGAGGGTTCCCCCGTTTAGCAGCTGTGCTCAGGGAAGTGGTTGTGTTGCAGCTCCCCCGCACAGAGACGCCTCCCCGCAGCCTGGGGCAGGCCTCCTTTGCTCCATCCTTGGCGTTAACTCATCCCAGCCCCGCCCAGAAGTGGGATCTGAGCTCTCCACGTGACCCTCCCTCTGTCCTAAGGGAGCGTTTCCTTTCCCCGGGCCGAGTTGGATGCCCAAAGGGGGCGCTGCAGAGTGACATCCTGCCTTGAAGTTGCTCCTGTCTGGAGCAGGAAGGGCGCAGAAGGGACTGAAACGTCCCATCTGAGCCCTGGTCATTAATGGCCAATTGGCACTGCCGTCGATGACTGCCTGCTAGGCACTGGGGGGGGGGGGG